ACAATAAATGTATGGAAATGACTGTGAGGAGATGAATTCAACAGAAGGACTTGAAAGATGGAGACAGTAGAAGAGGCTGAACAATGGGAAGTATGGGATTTTGTGGAGATTGCATGGTTTAGATTACAGGAAGGGAAAAATAAAGACAACTCAACTAGAGATGTGGGAAAATGTAGCAAACAGATTGCCTCACCAAATTGAAGGATGACAAAGCCCTGGATAAAAAAAAAAAAAAATTGGCAGTGTGAGGGAATTGTTTTGAATATAAAGGAAAATGATTAAGATGGTGGATGAAGAGGAGAGGAGAGCTGTTTTGCTTGTATTATTGTGGCACAAATATGTCCTTAGCATAGACTCCAGTCTTGTTATACTGCGATGGAGTACAGCACAAGACAAATGGTGTTTGTCCCCCAGAATTTAAAAAAAATCGCTGTAAAACTGAAGACAACAAATGAAGGCAGATATAAAATTCAGGGAAGTGTGAAACAATAGTAGACAGCATGAATAGTTGTGTGATCCTGCACAGCAACAGACTTAAGTCTTCCAGGATGTTTTCCTTGTTTCTTTTCCAATAAGCATCATAGCAAAGGGGGGAGTTTGAGGGGGGATTGTTTTGTGGATGTTTGTGGTGTCCTGGTGCTAAGCATAGGAAGTCATGGAAAAAAGTACAAAAGTGCCTGTCCAAAAATGTCAAGGTGAGTGAGAGTGACTGTGTTAATTGACTGGAGCCAAAAGTAGTATTGATAAAATTGAACAAATAGGTATGGACTATAAAGTTAAAATAAGTAGCCTGCATTTGTGCTAGAGAGTGGCAGACTGGTGGCAGCATCTGAAGAGAATGCCCCATCTAAGCAGTATGTTCAGAAAGTGGGCTCTGCAATGCTCCGAGTAGATATAAGGAGGAATAAAATTCATATTTGAGGTCAAATAAAAAGCTATGGCATCAGCTGAGATGTGAAGCAAGAGCCTAGATAATTTATTCATGTAGATGGCTAGAAAATTTTTAGCTTTGATTATGCAAAAAGCATCTGCAAGATGTAGATGTATTCTGCCTTAGGAATCTAAACAGAGCTTGAGTTAAAAAAGAAAGTGATACAACCAACAGTGATGGAGAGCTGTTAGGTGAAGACATGAGATGATGTTTTTCAGACAGATTAAGCACAAGTAGGTGATCTGTCAGCCAGAATTTTGGTGCTTGTTCCCAAGTGCAAATCAACAGGTCTAAAAAAATCGCATGGTTACAGTAATAAGGGAAAGTACAATATTTTCAGTATTAATAGAAACAATTGCAGATTTAGGGAATAAGTGAAATGGATTGTAATACAAATGAAATTAATGGATCATAATACAAATGAAATTTTAGCTGGAGTTAACTGCTGCCTGAGTGACCTATAAACGATTCCTGTTTTTTTTCTTGTACTGATTGTCTTTTTCAGAACAATATCCTCTGAAAAAGTGTAAGGAATTCATTAGATTTTTTTTGTTACGCTTTTTGCACATTATATATTTGCCAGTTTTTAGCTGACAGATTTGGGTGAGTGCCTGTATAATTAATGTATATCTTATCTTTTTATCCATTTACTTTTATTCCAGTTAGCACCTTCTTCAGAAGCAGAAAGCTCACAACCAACGCTGTTTAGTGTTTAGTCACTCCCTGTGCCAGCCTTTCTCCATCGGTGTGTCTGTGCATCCTTCCCATTCCATCTTAATTGCTGATGCCAGTGGCAACATCCACTCCCAGTAAGAGTACAGCTTGCGTTGCCCTATTATTACTAGCCATTGAGTTTGTATGTGCCACTCAATTTGTAGGTGCTAATAACTCTTCCCTAGAGAGCAGCGTTTTAAAGAAGTAAATGTCTAGCCTATTAGAACCAATGTAGAAACTAACTACCATGGGTTTATGGTCATTCTTGCAGATAGTTGTGTTCAAGTACAGCATAGAACTAGATTATTTCAGCCACAAAAGCGTGCAAATTCGGAGGTGTAAAATACTAGAATGTTCTCAAGTGAGTGAATAGAAGATGAAAGTATCCCAACCTCAGCTACTGAGTCTCTAATACAGAAAAGGAGTTCTTCTGAGGAGAGTGTCATTTCTTAGTGCAGAACACAGCAAGCTTTGACTTGGCGTTCGCATCAGATTTTCGTTTTGTTCTTAAGCGGGGTTCTGTTTTTAACAAGCTGCAGATGGTTTTGTGGATTGTTAGGACAAGAGGCAACCTGGCTAGCTGAATTACTTTTCTCTGGGTGTACTAAGTGCACGTTTGAATTAGACTTCTAGAACTGATATAAGCATGTCCTCTCTACTGTGTAATGAAAACATCATTATCCTCCCCAGTCAGCATCTGGGTCGAGACTTCTTTATTTGGTTAGGAGGTAGGTACCTAGATTGGAGAATGGGACAGTCCTTGTCACTTTCAAAGCACTAACTTTCCTTCATTTTTGCCTTATTTGTGTATAAGCTTTGGATATAATAGGATAAACGAAAAGATTTCCTTCAGAGACCTCTGAAAATAGAGCATTTTAAAAGCAGGTAGGTGTCTCCACCCTACTTTTTCATGAAACATTTTATCCATTCAAGCAGACTTTTAAAAACAGCTTGTTTTGATAGCAGCCTGTTCTCCTGTGGGCCTTCAGCCTTTCCTTCCTGGCAGCACCTTTGGTGCAAAAGGAGAGTGATCAATTGGGAGACTATCAGTGCCAGCATGCATAGAGTGATAAGTTAACACACCACTGGGAATTTCTAGGGCCCACCAAGATACTTCACTTCTAATGTGCTAACAAGCTCATTTTTCTACCTCTTGCCTCTTCAGTTATTTTTTTTTCTCAGAAGAGCTTAGAAGTTGAGTGCATCAGGCATAATGAAAAGCTCTGTAGGAGGGAGAAGCAATAACCCCATTTTTCCCTTTTCAGCCAAATAGAAAATTAGTTTCTGGTAATACACAAAGGCCAGTATTTTTTGTGCAAGGGGCACTGCTGTGAATCAAAGGACTCTATTAACTGCAGAAAATTCAGCAGCTGTGAATCTCCCCCAATGAAAAAAGTGCTTTTCAACAAGTTGTGAGATACATAGTATTATTTAGACTTCAACCATCAGTTTCATCCTCTACCACTTATACATAGCCTCTTAAAAACCATGCTATATTACTCTTCTCTGTTAAGCCTCAATACTGTGTTTATCCCCCAATCTAAGAACCATTACAATGGGAGATTTTTATATTTTCTCTTGTCCCAGTGCTTCTATTATAGCTTCTCCAGCCTGAGACTTCTGCTGAGGTTCAGCTGTCTCAGGATCCAGAAAGAATTCGGAACACGGTTTTTGGAAGGAAAGTTGTTTCCCAGTTTCGCTATGTAATGAGGCTGTGGTCTGAGATGTACAATGAAGATCAGTTTATTCACTAGAAGTTGTTTTCAGATAATATATTCTCTATACATTTTTTCATATTTAGGTGTACTGCAAAATCTACTGTAAGTATTGTACAGAAAAAAATGCAAAAAGGTTTAATAGGAAAAGTTCTGTAATTGTCAAATTATAGTTTTAAAAGCTAAGATGAAGGGTATTGTTTCCAACTGTAATTTGAGGCTGAGAATTTTATTGCTTATTGTAACTGAAAATGATATACCATTATTTATTTTAAATGTTAGCACTTGTTGTTAAAAATGTTATCATTTGTAATGCAGCTTTTATGTTTGGATTGCTAAAAAATGTCTGCAGGTTGAATATTATGCCCGTTTCACAGGTGGTGAAATTGAGTCAGAATGGTAGTTTCCTCACTGCCCTTGTTGTCCCCAAAAAGAGCAGCAGACCTGAAGTCGGACCCCAGAACCTTCAAGAAGCTGGTTCTGAGTGCATTCCTCCACAGCATGTTGTGGGGGTTTTAGGGAAATAAACCTGAGCTATGTAAGGAAAAAATGACCTCACTATCTACAAATAAAATACGGAAAAAAAAAATACACAAGTGTAAATGCCAGGAAAAATTTCTGAAGCATTTTACAGTTCTGTAAGACAACTGGAGGAGGTCTCCCTCATTGAACGTATTGAGTCCAGCTGGAGGACTTTGAAAGTTGTGAGAGAAAAGGTTATCTGATTTCTCAGTTCAGGAACTATTCGACATGAAGCCAGCATGGTAGTTTTTCTTGATAATTGTATGTTGCTGCCTGCTGCTCTACATTTTGACAGCCATTTCCATAGTTGCTTTCATGAACAGCAGAAATATTCTCTCTTTTTCTCGCTCTCTCTGTGCTAACAGCACAATCAGGCCTGCTGGAACAAGAAGCCTGGAGAGGGTTCTTCAAAAGCAACAACACTTCAAGATACCGGTCTCTCGTCAATAATATCAGAGAGGGAGAACGCGGGGAAAAGGAAGAAGTACAGTATTTTGCTGTCAGTGCCCTGCCGACACCCCGTTAGCCAGTATTTAAGGGTCCTGGGGATTCTTTACAAATATTCTTGCTTGTTTTAATGGCATAATTGATGAGATGTTTTTCCCAATACTCAAATTTTGCTATGTATTTATCTTAACCGCGTGTGTGTGTGTGTGTGTGTGTGTGTGTGTTTAGGGATTGTGGAACAGTTTGTTATGGAGAAGTGCAAAATCAGTTATTTTGTTAATGCTAAGATTATGTTTCATGCTATACTTTTTAAAAATTGTAATGTTTTTATATTTAGTTGTGACCAGAGTACAGAAAAACAGTTACTTACTCTCTTTTGAGTATCTAAGTTTCTGTTGTTTGAATAAAAATTTCAGAAAGTTTTGCATCAGACATGAAGAAAAGATAGTTGAAGCATAAGGTTTACATTAATCATGTTTATCTTACAGGTCGTATTACTTCAGTGCATCAGATAGTATCGTAGTTATGTAAAGAATTAAAAATAAGTGTGTACAGTCACTGGAATACATTATAAGTATTTAACAAAACCAAGAATTCTGAATTACTGGGCACTGATATTTAGCAGTTACAGTACATGATATAAATTGATCCTTAATTCTTGGCTAAACCAGTTATGAAGAGAGAGCACGATACCTGCAAACGATTGTTCAACACCATCTAGAGCCTACAACTTTTGAGGATTTTGCTGCCCAGGTTTTCTGTCCAGCACCTTACCACCATTTGCCCTCAGAGACAGGTAAGAAGTACAGTAAAGAACTGTTTTTATACAATCTTGTTTGAAATGCAGTATCCTTACTTATAAAACCTAAAAATTCAGACCTTGGCACACCATTAAGAGTTACCATTAATCTGAAAGACTATATGTACATATTTGAGAACCTGGGCAAAGTTGCTTTTAAATCTTTATTCTGTTTTCTGGCATTGCAAGCCATTGCCTGGCATTAAGATTTGGCTAGCTACTTTAATATAGCAACCAGACTCTGTATTTTTACAGTGAGTTTTATTGCATTCCTCTGGATAAAGTCTCCATGGAAGCGTGGGTAACTCCTTCATCCAGACTAGTTCAGGTAGATACATTCCTTAATCTAAGTACACTTTCCCTGTAAGAAAGTTTTAGGGCTCACTACGTTTTTAGAATGTAAAGTTTTAAGTTGGAAGTCTTTGCAATCATCACTTTTGTTTCCAGGTTATTAGCTGCAAAGTTGGTTTTAAGGTCATTTTTGCTTTCCAGTAAAATACCTGTTTTATAAGAGGATACTGCATTTTCAGTTACTAATGAAAAAATCGGTAAAAGAAAATGAGTAACTCAAGGCCTTCCTGTTCTGAAATTTCTTGAACTCCTTATGATTATTTCATTATTTTATTTCCCCTCTTTTAGATCATTAAATATCAGTTCTGTTTATCTGAAGGTAAGACAAAGTGTCCAAAAAACCCCTTTGTTCCTCTTACTTTTACTAGAGCACTAAGCTTGTAACCAAATTGTATGCGAACTTTCCTTGTTGCCCTTGTTCACACTAAAAAGAATTTCACACTGATTGAGAAATGACCGCTACATCTTCTTAAAGTTTTAGTCTCTTACTAACCTCAGGTCTGCATGAAGCACTAACACTGGTTCTGGGATTAAGGTAACTAATGATAGAGACAGTTGTTGAATGAGTAACACTTTATTGTGTTGACCTTTGTTTCTCAGCATGAACAAGTAGTACTGGATGGCAGTGGTGTGTTTTGTACCCTGTATTGTCTTTCATTGATGTTGTAAGACATTCTGCAGTGAAAACATAGGAGAGAAGGAGAAGAAGAATGTGTAACACTTGAAATTCTGTGTTCAGAAACCTTTATTTAATGACAAATAAATAAAAATGCTTCTGTGGAAAAGCCATAAATCTAAATAAAATAAATATTCTAAGAATAAATTAATTTGGCAAGTTGTTATTTCAAAATTTGTTTCTCAATTGCAAAAATATGCAGAAATAATAAATTCTAAAATTATAGAAGAGCTGTGATAGGACAACGGAAAGAATGTTAAAATGAGAGATGTTAAAATGTTGAGACTCCTTCGCTTGAAAGTATAAACCATAAGTAGAAATGAGGGTGTAGTTTCAAAGTATAATAAGTGGTATAGCTATGCCAGTGCAAATAGACAAGACCAAAAGGAAACAAAATTAAAAGTAATTTAAAACTAATTAAATCAGTATAAAAAAAATAGTAACATAATTTAATGCATGGAAACACTTGAATATGAAAAATCGGTAAGTAGAAACATTAAAAACAATCACCAGGGATACCATTCCTTGCCACATTTCCTACCTAATGCACTCAGTAAGTATTCAACACCAGACACTTTGGAATGGCTACTATGTATTCTATGCTGTAGTGCCCCTGTACCGGTTCTGCCTGTTCGCTTTCGGAAATCTCATTCCAGGCTAAATCATTCTGCCCTCTTTGGCTCGTTCATTCTTTCCGGGTGAAGCAAAGCTGCTTTTCTGCACTAGTTTTCTGGTGCATTGGAGGACACTGCTCTAGAGTGGCCATTCCTGTATTCCTTTAAAAATTGTCCTCGTCATACTTGATATTCTCTAACATGATCTGGAAAAAGATTATGATTTTTAGAAACTTGATTTTAGACTTAACCTTTCTATCGAATGCAATCATTTGCTGCAGGAGTCTCATTAATAGGAGCTTGTGATGTATTTCACATCTGCGTGTGTATTTACGTACCACAAAACATGATGTCCTGTCCTGAGGGCTGCATTCTTCTGGACCTTGCGCTATGCAGTGGAGCTGACCAACACATCAGTGTCAGGAGCAGCCAGGAGCTTCCTAGGACAGACATGCAGCACAGTGTGACCTGGCATCAGTGTTAAACAAGCTGTCCCCGGACCTGCCTGACTCTGAGCTTTCCTTCTAGCACATAGATGCTGGGGATGCTCCAGCAGCCCTGCTGGCAGCCTGGGGGCTGACCCCTGTTCGATCCCGGGCTCCTGAGGCTCTGACACTGGGCTCCAGGACAGAGTGCCTGGAGTAGCACCATACCACCTGCCTCCAGGCTGACTCTGGAGTGCACAAATTCTAAAGCCTGAGGCAGGTATAAATTAACACTGCAGTCACCTGCCTGCAAGGTTAGCCCAGGGCTTGGGGTTAGCCTGGAAACCACTGGTTTCCAGTTCTAGCAAAGGCAGACCTGTGAGCGAGGTGGCTACAGACCACCTAGAACTTTGACAGACTGTGATTCCAGGAATGAGTCCACCAGATGGACTGTTAATAACCTACATATCCCTATGATGCCAGGCTCTCTACAACAGGCAGATTTTTTGAAAGATAGGTGAAGAGCTCTGAATTGCGCCTGGATTGCACACGGGAGCACCACTGGAGTCCTGCCTGGGAATCCACACACATCCATCACCCCCAAGATGACTCAGACAAAACCATGCAAGCTCCATGCCAGATGTTTCCATGTCATCTGAAAATTTCTGACCAGCTTCAAAAATACACCACAATGCTTTTTTAAAATACATAATATTTAATTTATGTCTGTTTTTTTTTAAATGAAAAATAATTGACCAGAAGAGACTACAAAAGATTTTGACATTTCAGATATTATAGACTTGATTCTTTAGCTGGATTGTGATCTCCAAGATTACAGTTGCTGAATATGTTTAATTTTTATAAAATATTATATACAATTTCCTCTTCTGAGGAAGATCTATAGAAACTGTGAAGCTACTACAGCCCATCACTAGGTGTTCTAGTTTCATCGTTGTCGTTGTGATCCTGTTGGCCAGTTTCAGCATGCCAGTTTTTTCATTTGAGCTATGATAATCAGAGCAAGTAGAGAACATGCCATTCGGTAATGAATTCGATTTCCTCAGGTTGACATATTTTATCAAAGGCTCAGCCCTCAGCAAAAGCCATTTCCCTTCCTTAGAGTGGTTGCTCTTCAATACAATGTGATTGTGGCTGCTGCTGTTTTATCTAGAAACTTAATTTGCCCTGTCAAAGTATCTGACAAGTCCACCTTCCCATGTTTAGGAACCTGACTAGTGTAGTGGACGCGTACATTTAAAAAAATTGAGATTTACCTGCACTTAGTCACAGAATATCATTCAGTTGCCTCTGTATTTTTTACTTGGTACCGACTCTGTGAAAGAAGGTAACTGCAAATACTCTGTTAAACAGAGTAATTCCTGCTATGCAGCCGTTGAGTAAAGCAGATTTCTGTGACACCGGAATAGGTTGCAGGAACCATCAATGGTAAGCTCAATGGTATTGAAGGGCTTATTGACCCCATGATGCTAAGATTCTGAGCTTTAAATTGTTCTGATGTCTCGGGTTTGGTTTTTCTCTATCTTCTTTTTTTCCTCTCTTCCTACTAAAAAAAGTACATCAGTATAGTAACCCTTATAAAGAAGGGACCTCTCTACATTAGTTCTAGTATTTTCCCTGTGATAAAAGAATCAGACTCTTTGATCCCAACAATCATGCCTTCTATTTTCAAGCCTGTGTTCAGAACAGTTCTGCTGCCTGACTCTCAAAGTAAGCGGGGATGCCAGCTGACAGGCAGGGAAGCAGGGACTGCGGAGGTGATGATACTTCAGCCTTGCACAAGAGAAACCCATGTTCAACAGCCTGCATCTTAATCTCTTCTACTGCTTGTTTGCTGTATAACTTTGAACTAAGAATCTTTTTGGCCCTGTATTACTCCTTCACAGAGGATCTGAGCAACACTTGTTGATGGTGGTGGCTGAAGTCTGTGATCAGAAGTGAAGCTGAAATACAGAAATGAGGGCTGTATGTGTGGCAGGACTGGGAAGAGTTTCTTATTATCCCTTCTCCAGTCCAATCTTAGGAATTTTTTTTTTTCATTCCAAATCAGAGCAAAACCTCAGAACTTACTGAAATTTTCCAAAAATTTTGTATTGGAACAACTGAAGCTGAAACTTTACGCATTTCTGAACTATCGTCCTTAAGTCAACCACTTGGACAATAATAAGCTGGGAATCCTCAGTGCTTTGAGGCAGTAAATTCAATGTGGACTGCTGGAGACCTAAGCAGATCAATTTTCTACATTTAATGAAATGGGTCCACTGAAAAAAATAGAGTATGATTGTCCAATTAAAATGCATCCCCTGCATATACCCAAGGGGATGAAATTAAATTTTAATCCTGACATTTCCTGTTTTTTTAATGTTTGACTTTACAAATTTATTGTCTTGTCACATTTTCCTTGTGTAATTCCATTTTGTTTTAAGGCATAGGGCAAGAGAGAAATTCTGTCATATTGATTAACGGCCACGTAATCCATAAGCAAAACTGTAACCCCTAGATCCACCACCAGCTCCTGCAGTCTGAGACAGGGCACTGATTGGTAGTAGTGGTAAGCTGTCTTACCTCTGCTTGAATCTCCACCAGTGGAAAAAATGGTAATTTTGCCAGTGAGTTTCACAGATGTTAGTTAACAGAGAGGAACAGGTTTACCCTATATGTTTCCAGCCAGGTTCTGAAGAGCATTCTTCACTGGACATGGGTTCTGCTGCTCTTTTTCCATCATGGCTGGCTCTTGGTTCTTTCTCTCCTATCCCTTTCCAGTCTCACAGGTCTTTCTCTCCTACCCCATTCCAGTCTCACAGGTCTTTAGGCGACTAACCATCTCTTCCTCACCTTCTCATCTTGCTTTGCAGCTGCTTTTGCAGTCTCTCTCACTGCATCTGCTTCTTGCTTCCTTTCCTCGTTTCCCAAAATTAGTGAGAGACTTAATTCCTTGACTCTAGGAAGGCTCTGCTGAGCATGACGGATAACTTGGCTGGATTTGGGCTGGAATTTCTAAGAGTGGTCAAGGGCACAAGCTGTACCAAAATGACTGCCCTCTTCCCTAGAGGTCAGGTGGGGAAGCCAAAGTGTCTTAAAAGGCCATCAAATTTTACCAACATGCACAAATGGTATTTTGCTCGGTGGTCATTCCCAGAGATGGCACTCGGGAAAATGTTGATCCAGACAACAAGATAAAGCTAGACGTACTGAGAGTAGTCTTACTGTGCAGCACCCTGTCAGGCTTCTGATCGGTGAATTTTTTACCTCTTGGAAAGTCAGAACTGATGAGCAAGATGAGTCATGCCAACGCCTGTGTTACACCTCCGGATTCCTCCACCTCGCCTCACTTCTGACTCCGTCTGTGCGTAGTTAGGATTCCGTTTTACATTTAAATAGTTAATTTCTGAGTCAAATAACAAACATACTATTATTAGAAGAGCCTAAAATTTTCAAATAGAGTGGGAAGATGTCGCATTTCAACTTTGTTGATCCACCTGCTTGTTCAGAAACAATTGAAACAGCTTTACATTATGGCCTGAAAATATCATAGCTCATCGGGCTATGATATTTGTCAGTTGTCAAGCCTAAGAAATGAAAAATATGGATCATTTCCTGATATTTTTCTACCTCTTAAAAATCCTAATGCATCTATTTTGTTTTTTTTTATATAGAACTTTTGAGTTCTAGATCAATTGTTAATAAAGCTGCCTTATTTTACCCTATTTTTATATTTTGGATAACGAAGTATTTCATTATGTAGAGAGATAAAGATAAGAACGTTTTACACCAAAGATTTTAAAACTATGAAGGGGAAACAAAACCTGCAAAATTTCTATTTACCACATTTGATATCCACATGTGTGTACGTGCGTATGTATGTATATAGAGATATATATGCTTCTCTAAAATCCAAAGAAATTGAGTTACTAATCAGCCTGTTGATTGCTGTCAGACTTTAAATATATTTTAAGTGCCATTATTCTTCACTCTTCTGGTGTGATATGTTTAGATGTGAAAATCACTTTACATGACTTCTGTTCTTCAATAGCTCTAAGTCAGTTTCTTTAAAAAATGGGATTGCATATGAATCTGTGCTTCTGTCTGCAGGAATTAGAAACAAAATTTTAAGATACAACCGGAATAATACCTTAATTGAAATAACAGGAGGGAGGGGGTTTAAGGTTTTCTTTATCCAACCCGTGATAAAATTTCACATAGAGTTTGACACTTTGACACAGACTAACTAGCTTAAATTCTATGTTTTTTCTCCTTCACATGATTTCAAGAGTCTCATGTTGAGGCTGGCTATAATTTTAGCATACTTAACACTGTGAAAGAGCTGGGGAGCAGAAGCCATATGTTGAGTTGCCATTTGTTTTTCCTTCTTGATTGTGTGTATGTGTGTGAGTATTTAACTGTTTTCACAGACTTTAAGCAAGCATTTCAGACAATGTTTAGGATGTATCTCAGTTGCTATGAATAAGGTTACTGGATCTGGATAATGTTATAGAATTCTTTTCTCTCTTTCTCTCTCTTTTCCTTTTTTTCTTGTAATGCTTAGTTGGTAAGTATGATGCCGGATTTCAGAGCTGTTGCTTCATTGCACATAACTAACTCATCACTCTCTTTAACCTGTAGCATGAGCAGCAATTACATAATGAAATTCGAAATTCCGTTTTCTGTGCTCATCTGTTAATACCCTTCAATCTCTGCGGTTCGTGTCTCATGTCTCACACCTGTTATCTTTTATCTTTTCTCCCCCCTCTTCCTCACTTCTTTCCACTCCTCCTTCCTCATCACTTCTTCATTCTCAACAAAGAAAGAAATGCTGTGATATTTCTTCTCCTTCCAAAACCTCCACTAGAAAGCATTGGCCACATCAAGGTAAAGGGCAAAGGCTTGAAACGGAAGGTCTTTCACGCTAGCTGTGAATGGTATGCTGTGCAAAACAACAACGGTTATTTTCTATTCTCTAACTTCCACCGTTTGAAATGCTTTAATTCCTTGTAAAATTAGAACAAGATAGAATTTCAGAAAATGAGAGTGCATGTTTCCCTGCCTGCCTTTTTCTGCAAGGCACAGTGAGTCAGGCATTATCATGCTTTTCCAGATTGTTTGGCAATGAAGTACCTAGTTCATGAACAGAATTACTGTCACCAGCTGGGGAACAAATAACAGCCCTTTCCGCCCCCCCGTCACTTCGATGGGTCCTGTCAGTTTGAAAAAGATAGGAAGTACCGTACTGTCCCTCTGGAGCAGGCAGGTGATGGACCAGGCGAGGAAGACAGCCAGGATGCTAAATCACTGCGGTTTATGACAGTACGTTATAAATGTACTCTTAGACTTCTTACCTGATGACCTCATTTGATTTTAGAGGAGTGTTTCAAAATAAATTGTGATCAGTTCTGAATGGTTTCTGCACCCCTTGTGTATGAAATATATACTGAGGGAGAGAGAGCTTCAGTTCTGATTATTGCATTATTATTTTAAAGAATTACCAGTAATAGCGTGATGTGGAAGAAATAGCAAGTGATATATTCTGGCTTACTAAAGTCAGCAGGGGTTTCCCCATTGACTTCTGCAGGATTAAAGCTTCTGTCCATAATTCGTACGGGTCAGAAGCGATCAGTGGTGACTGAGATAGTTGAGTTCAAGCAGGCTGTCAGTCTGTAAATGGCTAATCAAAATGCAGTTTAGTTTTGTGGATGTGAGTTCGTCATAGTGTTAATTTTCTGTATGTGGGAAGGAGAATGTAAATTTGATTTCATATTTTCTCCTTTTCCTTTTGTATTGCTATGGAAGAAGATTAGGAGATGGGCTGTGTGTAAGGGAAGAGCCTTGTCCTCTCGCAGCGAGGACTCGGGGCCCGCTGTAGCGCAGCTCTGGGCGCCGGGCTGATGAACTACGTACCGTTATCTCAAATTCATCTTGTTCCTTTTACAAAGAAACATTAACGTATAGTGCATCCAGTTAGTATGATCTGTTCAAGCTTCTGCCTTGTGGGCCCTGTAGGAGTTTGCCTTTTGAAGCACCAACTAAAGCTGGGATGGGAGAAGACGTTTTGCTCTCCCAGTTGGCCCCCGATTCACTCCACCTCTTCAGCTGCATTCCTAGCGCTCCCTTCATGCGCAACAGGCTGTTAACCTTCATGCTCTCATTAAAGACTGGTTTCTTCTGGGTTGTGGTTTGAATACTGGCTCCCCATCCCTGCCAGGGAATCGGAGGTGTTCGTTCTCCCGGTTAGCGGGAGAACATGGCCCACTTCAGTGCTGCCTCGGTTGCCGAGAGCGAGGGGGTCCTGCAGTCCCGTAGCTCAGTGGTTTCCAGCATCGTTTTTTCTCTAGAGGTGGATTTGTGGCAGTTGCTAGCTCCACGTGCAGTACCATCACCCGCAGCTGGTAAAGGGCTAGGAGATGCTGTGGGAGTGACAGCAGCACTGAAATTCCTCTCTGCCCCTTGCAAATAAATCCCTGTGCTACGCGTGCGGAAAGCGGCACTGACGCATCTGCTTCTTGCTGTCCTCTGCAGGCTTCTGCCCAGAGACTCAGCCGGGAGAAACTCCAGCAGCAGCAACAGCACAGGTGGATGGAACAGACTTAGCCTCTCCCATGTCTCCTCGGACTAGCAAGAGCCGCATGTCCATGAAACTGCGCCGCTCCTCTGGCTCTGCCAACAAGTCCTAAGTGGTGAGATGCCTGCAGCTTTCTAGTGAACCGCGACCGGCCACCCTTCCCGCAGCGCCTTGCTGCTTCCCGTTAAAGTAAAGGATAATGTCTCTAATGTATGTGTGCCCATCCCCTGCATACCCTTTTTCTGTATGTTTATTTTAAACGGTGACACTGGAATTTTACTTTTAATATTTTATCTTTTGATTTTTTTATCAAACTCCAGGCTGCCTTTTTTTTTCTTTTTTTTTTTTTTTTTCTTTTTTGCAGTGCAGTTTGTCTTCTGCACCTTTTACCTTCCTGGATGATTATGATATCTTAACAGTAGTCACTTTTCACTCTGGTTGACCCTGAGTCATATATGGAATTGGAGACTGCAGTTTGATTACACTATATTTATTGTGCCCCATTGCAATTTTCTCTGTAACAAAGGAAGAAATATGTACAATTTGAAAATGAGTATACAATTTTAAATTGAAGTTGCATTCGTAAAGTCTTTGTTAGGCGTCACAATGTTAATGCACAGGATGTGTACAGATTATTTATGTTAAGAATAAAATAGTTCAATGGCCTTTCAAGCATTACAGAGTCCAAATGAAATAACTTGCTCGTAGCACCAACTTTTTCTTCACAAAACAACGTATCATTTCATAACTGTGCAGGTGATGCCATAATCTATGCCAGAAAAAAAAAAATAATCACTGTGCTGAAATTCTACTTATGCTTGGCTTCCAAATATTTTTATAATGTTTGCTTTTCCAAGTGGTATCAATAGCAAATGCCATCGAATTTCATGGGTTTTGGCCTGTATCACTGGGCTGCTGGGTCTAGATGAATATTCTCATTTCTTATATTAAAAAAAAAAAAAAAAAGCACTTTCCTGATAGAAATTCATTGCTCTGATGTGTACGAGGGAAGAAAAGGGAACGTGCTCCGGGAGCCTGGCCTGAGAAGCTGACGATTCCAACCCTGTGAGTGCAGATTAGTACACGCTTTCCACCCACCCAGAGGTATTTTCCCACAGAAGATGAAATGCTCACATTTTGAGTGGCAAACAACAAAATGCTGTTAACAAAATGTAGCATGACATCGGTACTAACTGCATGTGTAAATAAATCATATGGGCAACAATAAGAAGATAAATTATGTATTGTCATTCATGTAGTATCTACAAATTTGTAATGGTTGAAGAGAAGACATGCTATTTAATAATACAATAAAATTATTCTTACCACCTTTTGTATATTAGTCATTCACCTCAGTGATTAGATTCTTACTCCAGTTTAGAGAAGAACAGCTTGTTACGCGTGGAGCAGTTAAGTGCGATATGCGGCTTAGTTTTCCTTTGTGTTAAGAAGTACACACAAGCCCTTAAGAACTCTTTCCTAACCCATCGCAAGAAGACTGTACTGAAAATTTTTCCCCAGATCTAGTAAATACAATACACGTTGCTCCGCGGGTAACGCAAAGCGCAGAACGTTCCCTCCTGCCGGCTGGTCGTTCGAGTGCTAATTGTTGCAGCAGTTAAATAATCATCAGGTTTCTGTGGTCCGGAGCCCTTCATCTTTGACTGTACTAGTGGAGAAAGGAGAGCAATGATTTAAAAAAACATAGCGACCTTCTCCGGGGGAGAACTCATTTAATGGCATAAATGGGCATTTTTACCTAAGTCTCCGTTAGCAACAAATGATGGAAAAATGCACAACTTAAAATAACATGCTTTATTTCTGGTGTGTGAGAAGAGCGAGCTGTGAGTTTAGCCTCCTTCATCAGACAGCAAATCTTGGCTGCTTTAGATTACATTGTATTAATTTGTTAGTCCAGGTCCTGGAACTAAAACGAGACAGTCCATGAAGCACATTTAAAATAAAGCCCTTAGCACTTTGCTTGTCAGCCTTTGGGCATGCTACATGTGAATCTTTTGTTGAGTGTAACAAAATATAAAACTACAGAAATAATTGCTTTAGAGGATGCTAGTCAAAAGACTAAAATATTTTGCATGCTCATTTCAGAGAGTGTTAGAACAAAGACTATGCCTGGTATCAATTCGGTTCCTCAGAAATCACCAGCTGACCCACTTTGCCCTGCTGAATTCAAGGAAGGCGTCAGCTTTGTTCTAAATCCCTTATTGAATTTGCTCGCCCTTATTTTTGGCCTCATCTGCTACCACATTTGGAAGCAAGCACTCCTGCGTGGAAAAAATAAATAAATAAATAAATAAATAAATAAAATAAAGACAGGCTGAAATGTCAGTAGCTGGTAAATTCGACAGTATTTCAAAGCATTTGGCCAGACCACCGTTTAAAGCCAGGGAACACACAGCGTGGGTTGCTTCGCTGAAGGTAGGTCTCCTGTTAGGGAGAAGGAAGGTTGCCTGTCCTCTACGCTTTCGCAACACACCGAAAGACCGTTTCACGTTCTAATTTCAGCCGTTCAGACGACCCGGAGGAGCTCACCTCAACAGCGCGGCTCACGGGGGAGAGGGCTCAGAGGCCGCCCAAAAAGGCCGGGTACAGGGACCCTCTGCCTGCCCACGACGCAGGGGCTGGCACGGCCATGTGCTGCCCGGCCTGGCGAGACTGAACCGAGCTTCTTGCTCTCGTCCGTCCGTCCGTCCTGCGCTAACAGACCTCTAAGGGAGCGGGTTTCGAAATGGGCAGCTGCCGGAGACGCGCGCTTTGCCTACCGCACAGTTGCTGGAGTACAGAAACACAGAGTAAGCAGGAGATGCGTACTTATCTCTAGAAGATCGACACCTCGCGTTTCAGTTAAGCAGACAGCACGGTTAATTTTCCATACGTTTCGCTAGCTATTATATGACTTGACTCAACATGAACGTTTACCTTCTCGACTATCTTAGTACAGAACACAGCGAACAAAACACCTCACGATAACTTAAATGTTGAAGCTCGAGGGCTAAGGCTATTAAAACAAGGTCACTAGATCAGGCTCCTTTTCTCACGAAAAATAATTCCTCTCTTTAAATATCGTATATACATACAGCCGTACTTCTATCCCGGGACCGAGAGTGGCTACGGAAGATGTACTTTCAGCGGGCCGACACCCGCGCCCCTGGCACTGCCCGCGTCCCGGCAGGTGCTCGCTGGGCCCGGCTCCTCGCGTGCCGCCGCCAGCCCGGAG